ACTTCAGTATACACACACCCTACGTCCCAGGAGTTTCACATCTCGGTCACACTCTACAGAGATTCATAATCATCAAGAAATGCACACGGCATGTTCATGCAGGAAGAAAAAACAGAAACACATCACTAACAGAACAGGTAACTGGGGGCTACACAGGGAGAATTAACCCCAGCAGTACACAACAGGAGTATCAGAAACCCCAAAGAGAACCAAAGAAGTCAAGCATATTGTTTGATGCTATTTGCAAACAGACAAATCAAGGGGGAAAAATGACAAAAGTGACCTGTCAGAGGAGAGTACACTAACAGGAATGGGGTTTTTTTGTGATGAAAGTGTTCTACATGTACGGCTTTGACCACAGGTGTGCAACTGTGCCAACAACACTAAAAACCAGTGTGCTTTAAGTGGATAAAAATCATACCACACAAATTATGTATCAATAAAGAGAATTTTGACGATAGAAATCAGGACCATGGTTGCAACTAGAAAGAGGCACAGATAGATTCCTGGCAACTTAGTATTATTACTTTTATGATTTGGGCGCTGGTTAGAGTATTGTTTGGTTTGTGAAATTTTTATTATGTAATCACACTGATTCTCTGTATATGTTATACTTTAAGAATTTACACTTTAAAATGTGATCTAGTACTCCTGGGATCTTGAGAAATAATTTCCGAAAGGCCGAAGCCACTTTCCTCCCACCAGGCACCACCCTGCACTCCCTGTGTCCTCTCCCTCTTTGACTGAGTTCCAGTTTAGTTTAGGACGCCTCATTTGATCTTGCTTTACCCAACACATCCCAGCTTCCTGCACTGCCAGTTCCCTTAGACAGGTCATATGCTGCCTGTTACTTCACACCTCTCTCCCTCTCTCTACGTCCCCTTAGGATTTGAAGTACAGGTTTTATATTATAACCTGCTAAGTTTCACACTGAACTTAAGAGCTGAGTGTTACTTCTATATTGGAAAAATGAGAGGTAGAGCCCTTTTTACCATAAATTCCTCAAGTCATTTCCTTCCTCACTCTGGTGATAATTCCTTTTAACCAGTGGTTTTCAAACTACTGTTCACAGTAGCTGTACGCTGAGGTCACAATCACCTAATTTTTAAAACAGACCGAACACGAAAATGGGAATGCCTCGCCTATAACAGGGTGCTTTCACCAATCATACTGCATACATACTTGTGTGTGTAATACCTCGTACCAACACACTATCATCTGCTGTGGGTTGTGGTAAAGCAAATTTCAAAAGCAACACCTTTAACCTGTTTCACACGACAGAAAATCTAAGCCAGGTGCAGACTTACGGGTCACACCGTTTGCTAGGTCTTAGGGGAGAGCACTCCTCAGGCAAAGGCGATTTGGTCTTGGCAGGCTGTAAACTGGTGCTGGGAGAGGCGAGGACGCAGACTGTGGGGCCAGCTGAGGAGCCACCGAAAGGCTGACTGATTTCAGCTGCAGTGCTTAGGAGGAGAAAGTAAACAAAAAGAAGTTGAACAGCAACCTGCTGAACAGCAACCACTATCATCAATACAAGGATTAGTTTAAGCATGTTGCATGAAGGACCCCAGTTTACAATGGAGAAAAAGAAATAAATAGTAAGGGGATTTAGCTTAGTGGTTCCACCGCCTGCCTCGCAAGCACAAGGTCTTGAGTTTGATCCCCAGTACCAAAAAAAGAAAAGAAAAGAAATAGTCAATGCTTTCACAATAAACTGTTTTGGCCAATGTAAAACATTTTTTTCTAATGAGCATGGTTCCAAATTCCTGAATGGGGTCACCACAGCTGTTGCTGCTAACCACACCGCATTCCCCTAATGACTCCATACCACCAGAACTTATTTTTAAATTTCGAATGACTTAAGGTTACTGTTAACCACTGAAGCACTAGCGTGCAGCTACAATTCAGCCAACAGAAGCACAGTCTGGGAAGAGCAGCTGCCCTAACTGTTCCCACAGAGACCCACTGGGGACCAGTGCTGGCTCCCGCTCTCCTGAGAGCTGGAAACTCCTCTTCCATCCGTATGCGTGAGAAAGTGCTGTGGCGCTCAAGGCTGCCCCTTGACACCATGCCATCAACTGCTATGGGACACTTATTCTTTCCGGGCTTCATGGGGAGCCACAACCCATTAAGTCACGCTCTTCAAGATACTCAGACAAAAGAAACTACTTCCCGCTCACCTCAGGCTCCTCTGCATTCAAATTTCCCCACTTTGCTCACTGGTCCTTTTATGGAAAGAGTGGGGTTTTAAGTGGCTGGAGAGGAGCCAGGGACATGAACCCCAAACTCAATTCTATCAGATTCTAAAATGCTTTTCTTCATCTTTCCCAAGCGGCTCACTTTCACAGTAAATTATTACTTTCCAGCAACAACAAACAGTTGCATTTCTAGATTACTGAGATAAAACCCCAGTGCCAAAGTGGGTCAGGAAACCACCAGGATGAGCTTAACATTAAAGCTATACTACTGTCAATCCTATTTCCCAGGTCTACAAATTCTGAGCGTTCGGAGACCACAGCAAGTTACTAAGTTGGGTTTTTAGTGACAGCCACCTGCTGCACTGTGGTCTCTCTGGGCCTCTGCCTTCTTCCCACAAGATCCAGACTCCTCTGTCTCCTGTGTGTTAATTCTCTGGCCTCAGCTTTACTGTTCAGAAATTTCTCCAAAGCCTGGAATCAGAGGTGACTTCCAGATTTCTGCAGACTACTACAATGCTGTCTTTGCAGCTGACAATGCCACTCCTGGGAAACACAGACGGACCCTACTTACAACAGTTTGACTCACGACTTCAACTTACAGTGGTGTGAAAGCAATAATCCTTCAGGGTGCCTGGAATCTAATCTCTTCCCAGGCCAGTCACATGTAGTAGGACGTCCTCTCCACGATGGGCAGCCATGGCCCCTGATCTGCAGGGTGTACACTCGACACCACTTGGTGGTACACTGCCTTCAACACAATGCCTGAGTTATTCAACACTTACTATAAAACAGGCTTTTTGTTAAGTGATCCTGCCCAGCCATGGGCTAATGTAAGTGTTCTGAGCACCTTGAAGGAAGTTCAGGCAGGTGGACATCAAATGCATTTTCAAATCACAGCATGTTCAACCACGATGGTGTGTCGGTAAGTGGAGGAGACCTGGATTCGCCTGCGGGAAAACTGTGCTACTAGTCTGAATCCCGCTGGCTTCAGCAGACAGATATACGGGGAGGCAGGGGGAAGGAGAGGAAGAATGCAGTTATTCAAGAACTGAGACTGAATTTAAAAGACGTGTCTTTACTGTCTTATAAACAGTTCAAAATGTAAATACATAGACTCTGCTAACCTAAAATGTTCATGATTTGGAGAATTAAGATCATTTTTTCTATATCTCCTCATGACATCTGCAGTTATCTGAAGATCTTTAACTTATTCAGGGCAATAGACAACTTCTCTGAAGGATCAACGTCTTTCACCCTGCCTCCCTCCTCCCAAATTCAAAACGCTAACAGTCACTGTGCTGTGGAACCTGGCCCCTCCTGAGTTTGCGTCACACTATTCACACTCGCCAGCTTCACAGAGTACTGGCATCACATGAGACATCTTCTTCCTTATGTGGGATATTAACTAAGAACAAATGGGAAGACACATGACACTAACTGAAAACCATACTATGGCCTGTGAATGAAGAAAACATAATTAGAGCAGTATTCATTCAACAATACTTGTAAGCCAATCCTACACAAGACCCGTTTCAAAGGTCTGAATTTTTGTCACATCTTAAGTCTGTTTCTCGTTTGTGCTATTAAGTTCCCCCCAAATTCTATGTAACTTAATCATAAGAAAAGGCTTCCAAAGTGGAGGGCCCAGATTCAATTCCAGACACCAGGCTCAGCCACCTCCACACAAGTAACCATCAGAACCAATCGTGTCTCCACACAGGCACAGACCACAGGGGCCAAAGTGACTTTCTCAAGGGTGGCCTCTAGCTCCCGTCCCCTTCCCTTGTAAACAAAGAGCTGGCTGAAGTAAAGCAGCCACAATCCACAGCTTAACATGACTTCACATTACTGCTGTCGCTGCTAAAGCCATAGATATCACCATCATTACATGAGTACACACTGCCTTTAAGCACAGGCCTGTGACGGTCAATAATGGCAACAATGCTAACACCACAGCTGCTATTTATTGAGCTCTTACCATGAGCCAGGCAGTGCTCCAATCATTTTATTTTACCCAGACACAGAATGAAACGAGGTGTGTACTACTATAACCATCACTGGAAGATTAGCGGAGGCTTAGCAAGATCAGATAACTTGCCGAGTCGTACTGCTGCCGTGCAGTTATTACGCCGGCTGCTGAGAGGGAAGCTGCTGGTTCTGACTTCAGGACTCCACTCTTCCCAGCTGATGCTGTCCTGCTGGTCTGGCAGCATCCTATCAACTCACTGCAGAACTCAAGCCTTCTCGGCTCCTGAGGCATGACTGGTTACAGTGGTCAAAGGATGCTGCTGCAAGACAAGCTGGAGCCGTCTGCTGGCCGCAGGGACGGCAGTCCTGGTCCCGCCCTGCTCTGGCGCAGGGTGGCTGGGACATGGTCCACTGAAGTTCCTCCCGCCTGTGTCCTCACCCGGAACTGGATGCGCTGGGTGTTAACTTTGTTCGGAATGTATGCTGCTATGATATGCTGCCTTCATTTTTACACTTGAGTTTCCTATTAATTCTCTTCTTTCCTGAGATGACAAATACGATGATGTATACTCTTGACGATAAAGCCAAGCTTTGAAACACAAGAAAAATAATATGTAAGCAAACAGTACCAACATTTACATTATACTGCAAGACGGCAAAGGTTAAAATCTCAATGGATCCATTTTTGTTGAAATATACAAAAATATGTTGTATAAATAGTACATAAGAGTGTGTGCAAATCATAAAAAAATTAAGTCCATCCTTTTTAATTATTTACCACCAACTTTCAGGTCAGTCATTTCAAATCCCCGTTACCGCAGTCTGCATACTTAAGTTGTGGGGTAAGTCTTTAGAACTTAATTTTTCATAACTTAAAATGAAAGCAAGACACAAAAATCAGTTTGCAGTCAGATGTGAGAGCCAGCACAGTTCTGTAGACAGAATTCCGAGACCGGAAGCTCCAGTTTCTTCCCCTTCACTCCTGCTGGGGACGCAAAAGTCTGTGCACTGCCTCCTTAGTCCCTAACTGTTGTCTGCGCACTGCATGTGGGCCTCACAGGGCATTGTACTCCACACATTTTGACGGATCTGTGGGGAAGTGCTTCTGGCAAATGGTCATCAGCCTCTTCAGTCCCTACGAACACAGAGAAAATGAGGTTGGTCATGATCCGGCCGTGCCGCTCCTCAGCATCCTCCTCTGGACGCACTCCAGCTGCCGGTGCTCCGGGACGCACAGCATCCGCAGCCCTGCTACCCGGGTCCTGTTTGTCACACGTACAAGAACAGACCAGAGCACTGTGTGTGCTCACTGTCACAAACAAACAGCAAAGACACTGGAGACACAGGGAGACCTTCAGTATGCTCACAGACAGGGTACTTACTCTGCAGCAGTAAAATCAACTCAAGACACTCGTACAGATTCAGGCCTCCTCAACCCGGCTCTCAGAGAAAGCTAAGATCTAACTGCCCAGCCCAACGCCACCACCAAAGGTAACAGGAAAGCTTTTCCAAACATCTAACACTTCTGATGCCACTTAACAGTATCCCTGGGGACACTGAGAAAAACCATGCCAATAGTGTCCTCATCACGTGGTCCGAATGAGGACATCTGGTTGAGAAAGACAGCCACAAGACTTCAGAAACAAGGACAAAATACACTGCCAGAAACGCACAAATGATAGAATTTGAAAAAAAAAAACAAAAAAAAAAAAAAAAAGAAAA